TTGGATGCGATGTTTTGCTAAAGGACATTATTAAAAATAACATTAGCATTTTATAGCGGGTTATAGTTTTCTACCAGTAACCTAACACCCCCTATTTAGAAAATGTAATTACCGTAAGAGTATTAGACACTATGAAACATATTGTCTTTATCAATGAAATCTTCCAGTGTATGTTCGTTTTCTTTGTAACAACGTAAAACCGGTGCAGTGTGTGATGGTTAGAGTTAGATTGGCAAGAGAAGATGTATAGTGACACAGAATGAAAACACTTCTACTTTGGTTGACATAAAATTCTTGACTAAGATACATGATAGTGTCTAATGTTAAAAGATTGAGCTTGTTCATCAAAAAGTCAATTAATAGTCGGTAAAGCAGTCAATAATTTATACATCCGAAACTATTAAAAACTGTTTTAGTGTGCATGTTTGTGTAGGGGTATGTAGTTAAAGGAGGGGGGTGGGTTGGGTCTGTTCGCTATACATACGCCAAAAAGTATTGAAAAGCACCTTGTTAAAGTGACGTAAGCATCTATTTTTAGAGCCCGGCAATCAACGAGTGTACGCGCCATTAGCAACCCTCGTCAAACTCACTCACGCCGGTGTTGACGGTGGGGGCTGCTGGCATTAACGAATAGGTAAACGCTCCGGCAGCAGGTGTGTCTAGGTGTGTGTGTGTGTCTAGGTGTCTGTGTGTGTGTCTAGGTATTGTGTGTGTGTGTAAGTTTATGTGCATGTATGTGTGTGTCTGGGTGTGTTTAGGTGTGTATGTGTCCATGTGTGTGTGTGTGTGTCTAGGTTTGTATGTGTGTGTGTGTCTGGGTGTGCGTCTAGGTGTGCGTGTGTGTGTGTCTGGGTGTGTCTAGGTGTGTATATGTGTGTGTGTGTGAGAGAGAGAGTCTGTGTATGTGTCTAGGTGTCTATGTGTGTGTGTATTCATGTGTGTAAGTTTATGTGTATGTATGTGTGTCCATGTATAATGTGTGTACCACCACCAGCACACCACACACAACAATACACCACACACACACCAGTACACCACACTGTGACACACACCAGTATACCACACACACCAGTACACCACACACATACCAGTACACCACACACATGCCAGTACACTACACACACAGTACACCACACACACCAATACACCACACACAACAGTACACCACAGTGTGACACATACCAGTACACCACACACACCAGTACACCACACACATACCAGTACACCACACACTTAGTACACCACACACAACAGTACACCACACACCACACACACCAGTACACCATACACACCAGTACACCACACCACACACACACCAGTACACCACACACACACACCAGTATCTGCGTGTGAAGATTTGAACTAAAGACGGTTAAATTAAAACCTAACGGTCAATCCAGTGACCTTAACGACTACATTAAAGCCTAACCACCACTCGTATGACCTTTTAAACTCGCAGCTAGCAAGTGCAAGGTCACTTCTAGCCACCACCCCTCCTCCCCTTTCCTTTTAGTCTACGTGAGCCTAACCCTTTGACAAACCTTCGGGTCTGGTCCCCAGACTTCCAGTCAGCCGGTACTCCCCCCCCCCCCCAAACCCTCTGCCTCATTATTCTCAATAACACCCTCCCCACACACATCCCCCACACATCCCCCCCCCCACACATCTGGTAAACACCCCATCGGTATACCCAGTTAAGCAGTTTTAAATAAGCCTATGTGCCGTCTAAATCTCTAGACATTTTACCGTGATCTTCTAAACCTGCGGTAGTATTCGTTCCTGATCTTCTAAACCTGTTGCAGTATTCGCCTAGTATTCGCCCCTGATCTCCTAAACCTGCGGTAGTATTCGCCCCTGATCTTCTAAACCTGTTGCAGTATTCGCCCCTGATCTTCTAAACATGTTGCAGTATTCGCCTAGTATTCGCCCCTGATCTTCTAAACCTGCGGTAGTATTCGCCCCTGATCTTTTAAGCCTGTTGCAGTATTCGCCCCTGATCTTCTAAACATGTTGCAGTATTCGCCCCTGATTTGACAAAAAAAAAATTGTGGCAGTATTCGCCCATGATCTTCTAAACTTGCGGCAGTATTCGCCCCTGATTTTCTAAACCTGCGGCAGTATTCGCCCCTGATCTTCTAAACCTGCGGCAGTATTCGCCCCTGATCTTCTAAACCTGTGGCAGTAATCGCCCCTGATCTTCAAAAATTGTGGCAGTATTCGCCCCTGATCTTCTAAACCTGTGGAGGTATTCGCCCCTGATCTTCTAAACCTGCGGCAGTATTCGCCCCTGATCTTCTAAACTTGCGGCAGTATTCGCCCCTGATTTTCTAAACCTGCGACAGTATTCGCCCCTGATTTTCTAAACTTGCGGCAGTATTCGCATCTGATCTTCTAAACCTGTAGAAGTGTTCGCCCCTGATCTTCTAAAACTCTGGCAGTATTCGCCCCTGATCTTCTAAACCTGTGGCAGTATTCGCCCCTGATCTTCTAAACCTGTAGAAGTGTTCGCCCCTGATCTTCTAAAACTCTGGCAGTATTCACCCCGATCTTCTAAACTTGCGGCAGTATTCGCCCCTGATTTGACAAAAAAAAATGTGGCAGTATTCGCCCCTGATCTTCTAAAACTGTGGAAGTATTCGCCCCTGATAGAAAAAAAAACCAACCAGGTACACACGGAGCATTTTGTTGGCTAATCCATCTGTTTAGCAAGCCCTCAGCTCCCCTTTCCAGTTCAAATGTGTACCAGCGTACACGTATTTTGTACACACGGGAACAGATGGTACACAGGGAAATGGGGACATTAGCGCCGGGAGACTTTACACGCTCAGCACTAACTTGCACTTTCCCATCAATGTGTTGACGATTAGTTTAAAACAAATGTTTCCAAACATGTGTTTCAATGTAACACAGATTGCCGCCGTGACAGAAGTCTGAAGTGATGTTTTGTTCACTGAATTATAACATTAGATGCACTTTAACACATCCCATGGGGTTTAAAACATCACATGGGGTTAAAACATCACATGAGGTCTAAAACATCACATGGGGTCTAAAACATCACATGAGGTCTAAAACATAGACCTCTTGCTCGGTGTGCGGTCGAAAGTGTAGCGAATAGCGTCAACGACTGAAAATCAGGCAGTTATAACTGTTTTTTTTTAAGCTTTTTGATGAGAAATTAAAAAAAATAAATTGACATCCTTGTATGATTATTGGAATATTTATTTATTGTTGTATATTTAATAAATACATGGGAATAATGCCGATATTTAAATACAGTATTTGACCCAAAATTCAATGCCTGCTGTTTACTTAATGGTGTGGGTTAGTGTGTTGGCTCTAACTCACACCCCACACCCACACAATTGAAACAAATGCACACAGATATAGTCTATTACCATTGTACGCGAACATAAAGCAACGTTGAGAAAGAACTACCGTATTTTAATCAATTTAAATATAATCTTCTTTTATGTAATCGAAACGGAGCAATATTTCCACACTTTAAAAATTTACGCATTTATCACCAAATCTTAGTTAAAGGACTATAAATTTATATTTATGCGATCTATTTTAAGCTAGTTACGGTCCTATAAACGTATATCTAATAACCAAATCTGACCCAGTAAAACCACTAAGAATGTTGACATCTGTATGTCTAGTGACTTATGCTGAGTAAGATTTATGTTTAACCCATTCAAGTCCATGTTGATTGTAACGAATGCGCCGTGTAACGAATGCGCCGTGTAACGAATGCACCGTGTAACGAATGCGCCGTGAAACGAATGCGCCGTGTAACGAATGCGTCGTGAAATAATGCGCCATGTAACGAATGCGCCGTGTAATGAATGCGCAGTGTAACGAATGCGCCGTGAAATAATGCGCCGTGTAACGAATGCGCCGTGTCACGAATGCGCCGTGTAACGAATGCGCCGTGTAACGAATGCGCCGTGTAACAAATGGCAGGATTCAATGTCCCCTCACCTCTAGGTACACCATTAAAAGACGCGCTCGCCAGTCCGGCGATTATTCATAAATTGGGTGTGTGCTCACCCATAAGGCGGCGGCGAGCACACGCCGACAAAATGTCACGCACATGTTGCAAGTCGCCGGGTTTCTTTGAACCACCCCCCTCTTCTCCCCTTCTCCTCTACCGGTTTAGAAAAATCTAGCACCCGTTTAAAGTTCAAGATCCACGGTTGTGGTGTTTTAGATTTTTGTTTCCATTTTTTTTTTCATTTTATTTGCGAATATTTATTTTCTGAAAATTTTATAAACACACTTCCATATATATTCTAGATTTTGTTTCATTATCTGTAAAAAAATATATTTATTTCTGTTTATCTGGTGCAAGTATTTTTCAAATTTATTCCTCAAATAGCAATTACTTTAAAATGTTTAGAATTTTTCATTAAATTTGTCATTAAGAAAATTATTTTATTGCTCACTAAGATTCTTCTTCCAGACACAGTTTTAGTTAATTCCTCTGGTTCTTGTCATGTGACATTCTGCATTAACCAAGTTTCAATTCTTTCCTAAAATTGGTTATTTACTGTTTATCTAATGGTTTACTTGGGTCTTGAAAAAGTATTGACAGTGAAATATGTATTTGCCTACCATAGAAAACTCTTGCTGAAAATATGTTAATGCTAGTCGTAATTATTATAATCAAATAGTTTTAGAATATTATTAGATAACAAATTACGTAAAGAATATAAATATTAATTTATGTAAATATTAACAAAGCAATGTAGGCCTACAACATTTTGAAATTTTTTAAAAATTATACCAACATCTTTTAACATTTAGACAAAATAATATTCTGTACACCATTATCATCATTACAAGTATGATTTATAAACCAATTTAATTTTAGCTATTGGCAAAATATTGTTTTTCATATATTATACCATTGAAAATATGATTTTTTATACCAACATCACCTTAACAGGCTATAAATCAATCGACTTGTGTAACAAATGGTTCCTTTCTGCCCACAGCTATGGCATGGCTATGGGAGGCATGGGCATGTACACTGACCAGTACGGGGCGATGGCCCGACCCTCACCCTACGGCCCGTACGGCGGCCACCACCCCCACCACCCGGTCAAGGAGATGGTCAAGCCGCCCTACAGCTACATCGCTCTCATTGCCATGGCGATCCAGTCAGCCCCCGACAGGAAGATCACACTGAACGGGATTTACCAGTTCATCATGGAGAAATTCCCGTTTTATCGGGAAAACAAGTAAGTTCTCCAGTTGTTTTTTTTTTACTTTTCCTGGTAAAAATATAAAAAAAGGAGTACTTTGAATGGACACACCATTAGTATCAACATTACTTATGAACATAGCAACAACCCTGTAACACAACAACTATAACACAACAACTGTAACACAACAAATGTAACACAACAACTGTAACACAACAAATGTAACACAACAACTGTAACACAACAACTATAACACAACAAATGTAACACAACAACCTGCCTACTGTAACACAACAACTGTAACACAACAACTATAACACAACAAATGTAACACAACAAATGTAACACAACAACTGTAACACAACAACTGTAACACAACAAATGTAACACAACAACTGTAACACAACAACTGTAACACAACAAATGTAACACAACAACTGTAACACAACAACTATAACACAACAAATGTAACACAACAAATGTAACACAACAACTGTAACACAACAACTGTAACACAACAAATGTAACACAACAACTGTAACACAAGAACTGTAACACAACAACTGTAACACAACCACCTGCCTACTGTAACACAACAACCTGCCAACTGAAACATCTCTACCACTGACGACAATACAAAAAAGACTAGAGAATTCTATTTTCATCACCTCCATCATCTTTTAACTGGGCGTGGACGTTCCAGAATATTCCACTCTGAGGGTAGGACGCATACTAACATGCTTTTATCAGAGGGATCAGTGGGTGATGTATGTGTGTATGGGTGGGTGGTGGTGTTAGTAGTGTTGTGAGGGGTGGGGGTGCCAAACATTCCTGCCTTATCGCCAGGGACGTGGATGATTTTGAATTTTTTTTTACCTGCCTGTAAATGTCAGGGGACATGAAAGTGGGATCTGTGGCACTGTAGGCCCAGGCGTTGTACAGGGGCGGCGCCGGTAAGGTCCAGGCGTTGTACAGGGGCGGCGCCGGTAAGGCCCAGGCGTTGTACAGGGGCGGCGCCGGTAAGGCCCAGGCGTTGTACAGGGCCACAAATGTAAGACCCAGGCGTTGTATAGGGGAGGCGCCGGTAAGGCCCAGATTTTATACAGGGCCGCAAAATGTAAGGCTCAGGCTTTATACAGGACCGCAAATGTTAGGGCCAAGCTTTATACAGGCAGCAAATGTAAGGCTCGGGTTTTATACAGGGCCGCAAATGTTAGGGCCATGCTTTAAATATGGACTTTTTATGAAAAAAAACGGATTATATGGCGTATGTAAGACCAAGGTTTTATACAGAGTCACATATACATGTCTTATGTTATACTCCACAATACTCACACATTATACAAGCCTTTTGTGTTGGCCCAGATCGCATACACACACAGACTCTCTGTCTCTCACACACTCACACACACACACACTCTCTCTCTCAATCACACACACACAGCATATCAAAGCCAGCGTTTATCAAACCCCCGCACTTCTTACCATATAATCATCTATTGATTTCCCTTTCGTCGCCGGTCTGATCCTGTTCGTATCGACTCGCATCCTGTGTTGCGATACAGGGGTCGCAGTTGCCGGGGGCCTTTGAATATAAAGCAGGAGCTAGAGCTAGACGTCCATTAGGTCCGTGCTGGGAGGTTCGTAATGTGTGGTCCACGGTTATACTCGGAAACTTGCTATGTTCGTTGTTTGTTTCATGTATGTTGAGAAAGGGGGGGGGGGGGTAACTTGTAACCATACATACACCCCACCATACATAAACCCCACCATACATACACCCCACAATACATACACCCCACCATACATAAACCCCACCATACATACACCCCCACCATACATACACCCCACCAAATTTTAGTGGGATCTAAAAATATTGAATTATTCGCATGATGGTATTTTTAGAGTTCAAATATTGAGCATATTTATTTTTGTTGATGGTGGTTGTACGCGAATCATAGGCCCTTAACCTCAAGCATTTTCTCTACAGCACCTCGTTACATCAGTTTACAACAAATCAATTTATTAAGCACATTCAAATCTGTTCACCAGTATTAACATAATTCTACACAATTACTTCAACAATCGTTTTCACAATCATTTACAGAATCACCTACACAATCACCGTCACAATCACCGTCACAATCACCTACACAATCACCTACACAACCATTTACACATTCCCTACACAATCACCTATACAACCATTTACACAATCATTTAAAATTCATCTACACATCCACCCACACATACACCCACACATCACCTATCCATCCACCTGGCTCTCCCACATCACCTGTACCTACCCCCACCCTCCCCCACCCATCTGACCCGTGCCGGAATTCTAATTAACCCTCTTTCACATTTAATTAATCCAGCATACAATTAACGCCAACTGCGCGATTTGTTGAGATTGAATTAATTCCTCAGCGGGTCAAAGGTTAATTAAAGCTGCTGTTCCCTCTGGTAGAGATTTATCAGTTGAGTTTAACTTGTCCGTGTCGATGTAAGGTAAGACACCCAATGGTTAAGTGTTGAGGTGTCATTCTCATTGGGGTTAGACGTACCCTGTCCTGTACAAATGGGGGTCGAGTTCGTGATGTTACCTTCATCAGCAGATATTGTCCTGTGATGTTAGCTTTATTAGCAGCATTGTCTTATGTGATGTTAGCTTTATTAGCGGTCATTGTCTCATGTGATGTTAGCTTCATCAACATATATTGTCTTATGTGATGTTAGCTTTATTAGCAGTATTTTCTTATGTGATGTTAGCTTTATTAGCAGCATTGTCTTATGTGATGTTAGCTTTATTAGCAGCCATTGTGTTAACTTAGCAGCCATTGTGTTAACTGTCGTATGCCGTACCTCTCGACCACACCGAACTCAGCATATGGAGTGACTGTGACGTTTATTTACTCCAACTTCTTCCAGGTACCCATTAGTGCTGAGTGAGCTCAATGACGTAAAATAGACACAAATTTAGAAACCGAAATGCTCGTGTAACTGCCACTCGACCACGCCGGCTCACCATTTTTGTATGTGTCGATGTAAACAAAGCCGCCCTAAACTTAAACACATCCACAGGTGTGGTGAAAGTTAGCGTCTAAGTACCAAGTTATGACGTTATGTTGGCTTAAAACAAAATCCACAAACTGCGATCTAGCATGACATTAAGATGACAGGGACCATATCGTTTCATCTTTCTTGTAATCGTATCGTAAAACAAGTACTGAGCCTCGAGTACTAACTTTCAAGTACTGAGTACTCAATACTTTCAGGAATACTCGATCTGGAGATATGAATATCGTTATTACTTATAAAGTAATAAGTATCGGGTAACTAATTATAATACGATTACCGAATGCTAATAATTTAATTCGTACGGAGTACCAACAACTTAATACCAACTAATGAGTCCGGATATAATAATACCGAGTAATGAATATCAATAGCTTATATCGAGTCTGAGGACCAATCACTTAATATCGATTACTGAGTATCGAATACGGAGTAGCGAATATTAAGTACTGTAATGCGAGTAAGATGGCTGTAGATGACTTGACCTAAGTGTAGTTTGAGTGGTAGGGGGGGGGGCGTTTACACGTGCGGGAAATTAATGTACTCATCTTTTCCGTGTTAGCTTGATAATTTATTTGGATAGACTTTGGTTGAAAACACGTTTCATCCTTTGTTTTTTTTCCCTCCCTCCCTCTCTCAAAGACGTGGTGGGTGGGGGATGTGTGTGTGGGGGGCGGGGTGGGGTGGGGGTGACGGAATGTGATTGAGATTGTTCGTGGGCCGGTAGTAAAAATGAATAATATTTAGCCCGCTGTAAACAAGGCCTCACATCTTAGCCTATGTGTATGTGTGTGGGGAGGGATTGGGGGGAGGGGAGGGGGGATTGCGGGGGCGCCAAAGCTGGGGCGCTCACAGAAAGGTTAAACATCCTCCCGGCGCAGCGTCATGCCACAGTTCTCTGTCCTGAGACTTCAAACGTTGCTGGTGTAGGTGTGAGGTGGATGGTGGCGTGGTGAGTTGAGGTGGGAGGTGGTGTGGTGGTGGCGTGGTGGTTGATGATGGCATGGTGGTGATTTCTGGCGTGGCGAAGATGGTTGTGGATAGTGGTGTGTTGAGTGCTTAGTTGGGTGGTGGTGGATGGTGGCGTGATGGTGGATGATGGTGCGGTGGATTGTGGTGGATGGTGGTTATTTCTGGTGACGATGTTTGTGGATAGTGACGTGTTGAGTGCTAAGTTGGGTGGTGGTGGATGATGGTGTGGTGGCGTAGTGGTGGCGTAGTGGTTCATAAGGGCATGGTGGTGATTTCTGGCGCCGTGAAGGTGTTTGTGGATAGTGACGTGTTGAGTGCTACGTTGGGTGGTGGTGTGGTGGTTGTGTATGCTGACGTGTTAAGTGCTAAGTTGAGTGGTGGTGTGGTGGTTGTGTATGTTGGCGTGTTGAATGCTGTTGGGTGGTTGTGTGGTGGTTGTACATGGCGCGGTGAGTGCTAAGTTGGGTGGTGGTGTGGTGGTTGTGTATGTTGACGTGTTGAGTGCTGTTGGGTGGTTGTGTGGTGGTTGTGTGGTGGTTGTGTGGTGGTTGTACATGGTGGCGTGGTGTGTTGACGTGGGTGGCAGCGACGTGAGGTGTGTGGTGGGGACTGAATGTTTAACAGGGCCAATCGTCATGTAATACCGACTCAAGCGGTACAGTAGTGCCGAGTGGCTAAAGTTCAACACTGTGGAGACGGGGGTATGCAGTTCTAAACCGCCGTTGTCATCTACTGAAAGCCGGAGTCAGAAGCCGGAGTCAGAAGCCGGAGTCAGACAGAAGCTGGAGTCAGACAGATGCCAGACTTATAGAATAGAAGCCGTGTGCACAGCGATTGAAACCAGAGTTAGTCATTGAAGCCGATATAGGAACAGTGTTTCTTCCAAACTTTTTTCTCCGGGGGGGGGGAGGGGGGGGGGGCACTTGAAATTTTCGGGGGGGGGGGCGGTAGACTTTCTTTGGGGGGGGGGGCGGACACTGTTAAAAGTATATATTTTCTATATAAATTATATAAATTTCATTTCGTTCGGGGGGGGGGGGGGGGGTAGAATTTCTTCGGGGGCGGGGGGGGGGCTTAGCTCCCCCGAAGAGATGCCTGGAAGAAACTCTGCATAGGAAACGAAAGGCATAACACTTGTGAATAATCTCCATTATAAAATATAAAAAAAATTATATATTTTAAAATGCATTTTAAAGCAAAAAAAAAAAAAAAGAAGAAATTGTTAAAAAAAACATTTTTTTTTTTCATCCAAGAAAAAAATAAATCCCGACTGAATCAATTTTTATAATTCAAGTTATCATCTAACTAATAAATGATATTAAAAACTGAGCTATATTTTTCTACTGCGCGTGTGTGGAAGGAGTGAGGTTCTGCGAGTAATTAGACAGACGAATTAGACCACGAGGCGGTAATTAGGCTAAAGACGAGCATCTTGAAAACAGTTTCTGTGTGGCTTAGGTGAGCCTAGGCCGAGTCTACACAAGGATTAGGACTTTCCGTTCTTTTTTTCTCAGGTGTTTAAACGCATATGTGGGTGGGTGGGGGGAGGGGGAAGAGTGGGTGGGTTGATGAAAATTTGCCGAAGCACATTACGTGCTTAAAACATGTTGACTTTTACATGGAAGAAAGCGTGACTACTTGTAGTGAGTTCTATTCCCGGAATCACTCAATAGGACGTCCCTGAGTTCACCCAGTTTCGATGGGTACCTGACTCATGTCGGGGAAAGTAAAGGGGTGGGGCATAGAACTGATCAGACAGTCGCTTTACATGCTGAGGTCACACATTTGGGTGGACTCTACTTCATCCACCCAACTGAAAATTAGGTTAAAAGAGACGTGTGGGGGAGGGGGGGGGGTAATTTCACTAGTCTTGGCTGTCATTCGACACCCATAAACCTAACCGATTTCAATTCTCAACCTAACCCTAATCGCAGTCCTTTTCTTAGTTAAAAACATACATGAAGTTTTCGTTTCATACAAACTTAGCGTCATGAATGTCCACAAGACAGTCTCTCTCTAGCCTTTCCTGTTGCTACACAACTGAGTGAAACTGTGCCCACACATTTAAGATTGGCCTCCGAGTAGTGCTTGAGATGCATCTATTCGGAGTCTAGTTTAGCATCAAACAGCCGAGCTAACTCTCGCTATAGCAATATCAAACGTATCCGGTGTCGGGGTGGAGAATTGGGCGTGGCAAGTGTTAACGTGGGTACTTAAAAAAATTGGATCTTTAAAATACGAAATATTGTTTTAATTTACCGAAGTATATTTGAATTAAAATGTGTGTAAATTTTGGATTTATGTTTTAAATTAAGAAACTGTCTTTAAAACGATGTTTCATTAAAATTAGACAATCAGTTTTAAATAGGTTAAGTTACTTTAAATTTAATTATCTTTTAAAATAAAATAAAAATTATGAAACTTCTAAATATAAAATATGAAATAAATCTTTTAAACTTGAAATGGATTTGCTTTTTAAGCACCATATATCAATAACAATTTAAAATGAAATACTGTGTTTAACAAAATAGGCCGAAATCATCTCTTTTATACAAAGCACTTAAAACGTAATTTATGAAAGTCTTTTGTTCAAGTCTTGGGATAAGATGTGACAGACTTGTTCATGACACAGACTTAGTGCATGTGGGTAGATGAAGTAAACTTGACCAGTCTTTGTAATCTAGACAAATGAATATATGTGGGCGTCCGAGTCATCTGACTCGGTTAATGTGCTGACGCCCTGTGTTAAAACACACTATATACAAAGTTGGGATTTAAAAAACACAATAAAAATACATTTTACTTTTTCTAAAGTATGCAGCATTTTTTGTATTTTGAGACACAATACTTCATTTTTTTTTTCAATTACTAATCAAAACCGGAGTCCGGTCTCTTGCCGGCTTTCCGGCTCTGCTACCAGCACCGCTTTCAATTACCGGCTAAATCCACCATCGTCTGTCGCCCGTCCCGCCTTCTGCTTCCCCCGCCCAGGACACAATGTAACAAACAAACACGGACAAACAGCCCGGACAATACCAGACAATGGCCGGGGGAGGGGAGAGCACTGGCCGGACAAATCAATTAATATTAATACACCCTAACTCACACACAACGCCGGACTTTGAAAACTTCCATCACGCTAATAAATAGCGGAAGATCTTTTCTATTTTATTTCTCAAGATGAGAGGATGGGGTTACTCATCCCCTCCGGGCGCGCCCTACCCCCTCCCATCCCCGGCGCCCCGTGTAAGACAAACTTGAGCACGACACCGGCAGATGGCCGTGACACTTGTAAGAAAAACACGGCCAGACAAGACGGAGGGGACCCGGATGAAAGGACCAGGTCCTGGGAGGACAATGGGGGTCATCGCCGGCTCTTGGGGCAGACAACAAGCAACACACGAATCTCTTGTCCTCTCGGACGCCCGCGCTGTTGTTGCGACTTTGTCCGTTCATTAACTCGCTGGTCGTGCTGCTGGGGCGTCCACGGACGCGGAGTCAAAAATATGTGTCAAGCTCTGACGCCGAGTCGGATAAAAATTTGACAACCTTTGACGCCGAGTCGGATAAAAATATGACCATCTCTGACGCCGAGTCGGATAAAAATTTGACCACCTTTGACGCCGAGTCGGATAAAAATATGACCATCTCTGACGCCGAGTCGGATAAAAACTTGACCATCTCTGACGCCGAGTCGGATAAAAATTTGACCACCTTTGACGCCGAGTCGGATAAAAATATGACCATCTCTGACGCTGAGTCGGATAAAAATGTGACCATCTTTGACGCCGAGTCCGATAAAAATATGACCATCTCTGACGCCGAGTCCGATAAAAATGTGACCACCTCAGACGCCGAGTCGGATAAACATTTCCCAAGTTGCAGTTTTTAAGTTCTGGTGGAAAAATAACTGTCCACTTTAAAATTGACGACGCATTGACCACATTATATAAGGTTAATATGCAGAGGCGTAGCGAGGGGGGCGCCAAATTGAAAGTTTGAGGGGGGGGGGTGCAAATGAAAAGTTCTAGAGGGCGGTGCAAATCGAAAGTTTGTCCCCGGGCGCCGGGAAGTGTCGCTACGCTTCTGTTAATATGTCTAACGGAATCATGTCGTTTATTTATTCATTTATTTACTGTTGTTGAATTTTCTCTGCCGATAGTGCATCAATAGTCTGTGTCACAAATGAGGGTTGAAGTCAAAGTCTGGACTAGGGCTAGGGTTAGTGTTAGGGTTAGTGTTAGGGTTAGTTTTGCGATACTTCTGTTAAAGGGTTAGAGTAGCCAGGTTTTTGTTTAGGGCATGGTTAGAATTTTATTTAAGGCAAGAGTTAGTTTAGGGATAATTTTATTTGGGCAAAAGTTAGTTAGGGATAATTGTATTTAGGTCTAGAGTTAGTTTAGGGATAATTTTATTCCACTTTTCCGAATAGCTCCGAAATACAGAATCAAATATAAATTTACTTTCGAATAATCTCTATTGGCCTTTATTATCTCGTTTTTTTTATAACCTTCGTAAAACTTAAACTTACAACTATGTTAATTTAAAAATTAAAATAGTTTTATCTCTAGTGCCATGAAGTTATGATGTAAACAGTCTGTATAATACACACCTTGATATACACAATCAAGTTAGTGTACGATCAACTTATGATGTATACAGTCAGCTTAATATACACCAATTGAATGATATACACGATCAACTTAACTTAGTGTGCGATCAGGTTATAATTTAAAAAATCAAAACTATATTCACACTAGTCTGTGTCTGAGAGAAAAAAACGTCATGACTTCTGGAAACTGGCAGATCATGTCACATGACCAGTCCTCGTGACGTCCTTGACCTTAATTTCACTTAAAAGTTCCAATTAGCCAATCAGAAAAGTTCCAATTAGCCAATCAGAGATTTCTGTTTGTTCTACGAATTCCCCCGCTCACAGAAGTATCTCCTGAGATTGACACCTCATTATACCTGTCATCCTCCGGCCTCTCGGAGGTGCAGGGAGGTGGGGAGGTGGGGAGGTGGGGAGGATGAAGTAGATCACAGAGATGGGGGGGGGGGGGGGTCGGGCTTGTCATGACTTGGTCAGGGATAAATTATGAATTAAGTGGGTCGCTGGCGGCAGGTCACGTGTTTTTATTGTGACCTAGTTTTAGTTTTTAATTTACGATAGCGAAATTTAATTAGTATTAATTTCAGTGATTGTGTATTTTTTTAAAAAATAATTATTTAATTTAATTATCATGAACAGCGGTCGTGATTTTCAGTAAAAAAATAATTAAATTGTGTCATGGATTAACCGTGTCATACAGACGCCTATGAGTTCATCCAGTTAAAATGTGTACCTGGCACAGGTTGCTAGGGGTTGGGTGATACGGTGGGGGGGGGGGGGTATTAAGTTTTAATCAAACAATATATTTATACGCTTAGAGTACAAAGTTAGTTAAACTTTAATTCACCTACGCTTATGTACGAGACCTCAAACGTAGACGGTCTATGGCTATTCTGTCATTACACTGTGCGTCTGGCCATTGTATTACCCGAGTCAGCTGACTTGGACGCCTAAGTAAAACGTCTTTGTGAGGATAGGATTAATATGTGTAGATAGTGGGCCCTACCCCATGATGATATTAGGCACTTTATCATTTAGACCCAAACGGACTGGTATTTGTAAGAAAAATTGAGTCTCCGTTGAAGATATACATTTTAGAAGCTACATTAAGTTTAACAACGGTTTACGAGTTTGATTTATACTTATTTCATACAATAATAATTTACCTTTTTTTGGTCAATTTATACATAGTTTGATTTATCACTTCACAGGCAAGGCTGGCAAAACTCTATACGTCACAACCTGAGCCTGAACGAGTGTTTTGTCAAGATACCACGAGATGACAAGAAACCCGGCAAGGGAAGCTACTGGACCCTGCACCCGGACAGCTACAACATGTTCGACAACGGGAGTTATCTGCGCCGGAGAAGGCGATTCAAGAGGAGCCCGGCGGAGAAGGAGAAAGAGGAGAGGATGAAGCGGTTGGAGGAGTGTAAGGACGGGGTAAAGGACGGGCTGGAGGAGGGGGAGATACAGCACAGTTCCAGAGGGGAGTCGAACGGGAACGCCAGTAACACTTCCGGTTCCATGTCGGACTCCGCGTCGGAGACACCGGTGAAGATGGAGAAAGACATGCGTCTGCGGAACTCGGTGTCGCCGGGGGAGCTGACCCGAGGGACCAAGATGGAGCCGGCTGACCCACCGCAGGGCGAGTGTATCGGCGGCGGGTTGAGTGACCACCATCTGGTCATGTCGGACCGGATGGGCGGTGCCAGACTCGGCCATCACGGCGCGCATCTCTCCCAGCTTCAGGCCCACGGGCTGGGTCTCCAGGCTCAAGGACTGTGCGCGTCCAGTAGCTCCCTGCCCCTCCCGCCCGACTCCATGTCGCCGATCGAGTCGTCGGTGAGCAACTTCACGGTGGAGAACTTTTTATCCCCGCCCCTGCTGGCTAACGGCGGTGAGATGGTGGCGCCCGGGTCGTCTCTGTCGTCGCGCCCCCCACCCCTCGTCTCCCCCCACCTCCTGCCGTACTCACGCTCCTCGGACCTGTACCGGCCCAGCACGGCGTGCAGCCAGGCCGCCACCCCGCCGGCCGTCTCCTACAACTACCACTGCGGCTCTGGGCCGTCCGGCTCTGGGTACCCCTCCTCCAGCACCCCCCACATCTCGGGCGGCCACCAGTCCAGCGGCGGCCACCACCAGCACGGCGTGATGAACATGTCCACCAACAACAACAGCAGCAACAACAGCGCCAACCACGGCTGCTCGGACGACACCAACGGCAGCCCGCACGGCACGCCGCACCACCACCACCACACCGGGCACAGCAGCCACCTCTCCCCCCACTCCTCCCTGCACCAGACCAACGGGCTCAGCTCGAGCGTCTTCTCCTCCATGTCCCAGCACAAAGACTTCGGCTACCCGCGAACCAATGGCTGGTACATGAACCCGTCTGCCTCGGATTTGAACCCCGGCCCGTCAGACTTTAGTTCCTTCACCGGCATGAGTATGAGAGACATGTTCCAGAACTCGGCCAGCTGCCAGCTCGCAGCCTTCCGGCCCTCGTATAAAGCTCCATCCTCGTATTACGATTGCACCAAGTATTAACCCTTGCTACGTCATAGGCCTAGACGCAGCCCATTTTCACGAACAGACCTCTTTAGTCACTGAACTGTGTCAAATACGATCTTTCAGCTAAACAAAATACACACAACAGCTAGCTCGAAGGAATTAGAATTCCTATGCTTAATTTAATTTATAGTAGGAATTTGGATGCCCCACACACAAGCACTGGATCGACAGCGATGTATTTGATATTATTGACATACAACACAGTAAGCAACAAACACGTTCTAAATTATGGTTGTAGTGTGTTGTGTGTAGTCCAGGCTGCCAGATCAAAGTGTTAAAAAGTGGCCAAACTATTCACAGCGGAAGTGCAATGTTATAGCATGTTAGAATGGAACTCTACGACAGTCTGATTTAATTATCGTGTACATTGTAGACAATAAACAAACGAATTTTATTCGTTATAAAATATTAAATGATTAGTATGTAAGCGTATTTAATAAATACATAACTTATAATAAATGGAAGCCCATTTTTTAAAGACAAAAATTTGCCAAAATGATGTTGAATAGTTTTAGATGTTCTATGTATGATGTTGTTATGTGGCTAGCAACTATAGGCACTTTTGAGTTTGTGCACAGTCACACGTACATTCTAGTACACACACTAAATGCATAATTTTACTTGAGTCCCAATATAGTGTGTACCAACCTGACACACTCTCAACATTATAAACACGACATACTACATACACACGTTATGTGAATATATTACGTGTAAGAAAAAATATACTCTTCGTGTTTTATGATTAATTTACTGAACTTGTGTATTGTTGAAGACTAGGTACAATTAGCTGATTCGAACCAAAACAAGAGATCAGCCTTAGATATATATATATTAGATGTTTAATTTTTTTTATAAGATACACAATTTTTATAACAAAAGTTATTTTTTTAATTGGATAAAATACATTTCTCTGTTTGGAAATTAATCAGTATTTCTAATTACTACCCAAGCATATCATACCACCCCCACCATGACTTTTAATTTAAAACCAAAAACCATCACTTAACCAAAAAACATCAGTTAACTACTTGCGTTGTGTTAAAAACATTACACGTCTGCCGGCGTCACGAAATGCACGCGCCTTCACTCACCTTTAATAATGAATGCGCATCGCGGCGTGCATGTGTACTATTTGCGCGACCCACGGTCAAAGGTTATCGGAACATCCAATCATTTGTCATTTCGTTAAAGCTGACAATCAAAAAATTGAAAATTGCGAATTGCTTGTTTTCATCTAAGCGTGTAAAATTATAGTAAAATATAACTTTTAATATCCTACGGCTTAACAAAATTATAATCAGTAAGAATAATAGTATTGGATCTTACTAAGTAGAGTCTAAGTTTATGTTTTTCTCGCTGAAGAAATAGTTTCATATTTTTATTTATAAAACACTGCACGCTACATAGAAGTGTATGGCACTTTGCGTCATAAGTCGTGACGTCATAAGTCACATCACCAATACAGCAGTGTGGCGTATAATCTCCCGTTTAACTTTGCAATCAGCCGGTTAATGAATTACACGTAATGCGTCATTTAAAAAATGAGGAATGGTTTTTCTGTGGCATTGCGAACGATTAAAGAAACAATTAAAATGCGCGGATATTAGCTGAGGTCGGGAGAACCAAAGCAAACAGGCTGGATTAGGGCTGGATTAGGGCAGTAAAACAATAGGACAGGTCACGTGATCAAGCCGCACCCAACGGCCCCGAGTTGTCGTCAATCATGACGGAATGAATCCTAGGTGACATTTTTTAAAACCAGATTTTATTTAACCCGGAAATTAAAATGACGCGTAATATAACAATAGGATTTTGAAAATGATTAAAGCAAATAAAAAATTTATTTCCTGAAAAAAAACAAGTATTGTAGTCATTAAAAAAATGATAATAAGTATTTCAAATAAATAACCGTGCACTTTAGGCGTGTTTAAAAAAATTACAAAATAAACATCACATTAATACCTATTAGAATGTTAACTAAGAAATTAATTAAGAAAAAAAAACGAAGACAAAATTGTACTTAACATTAATCAAATAAGAAAGGTCGAATAAAAACAAACTAGCTTAGCCATAAACATCTGAACAGTTTGAATTACATTGGACATTCAAAGCTAAGTCTTAGCTAAGGAAGAGATCAACACAGTTAGTCCAGGAAGAATTCCCAGCTAGTCGGTGTAATCGATTACACTTCTAGTAGTGCTTGATAGAACCAGCACACCACATTTCTGCGTGACATATTTCTACGTGACACTTTTCTACGTGACTATGTTCATTATGTGATAAAAATGTAATACACGATTATTATGTGTTTGTTAGTATTACAAACAAATCACAAACATATGCTTATAAATATAAAATGTACTTTTTGAAAAATGTTCTTAAAATCTGTTGATGCCATTTCTGTTCTTACGTTTACTTGCAGACTGTATTGAGCTTAAGTCAATATTTACAAGTAAGCTCTTGTGAGCTTAAGTCAATGTTCGCATGGTAGCTCTAGTGAGCTAAAGTGATTGAGCGAATAGAATGAGTTAAAGAGTTTGAAAAATAGATTTGTGAATTATTTGTAGTTCTCTGTCGTCTATTTATATAAACAGTCCAATTCAATAGAATCTATTTGGTTGTCTGAAATATGCTTTTGACGTAATTTTTTTTTGAATCCATGGCTGATGTCTCATTGCTTTAAAGGGGCATATCAAAATCAACCAATCCAACCTTGACATAAAGTCACGTGATTAGAATTTTTTTAGAGAGTTCCTGTATTTAAAATGAAACAAACTTGATGGGTTTTTAGTAGTATGATATATATATATATATATATATATATATATATATATATATATATATATATATATATATATATATATATATATATATGTATATATATAGGTATGCTTGAATATGTCTATTTACATATTCATATACACATTCATGTGTAAGATGTAAGTGTGTGTATTTGCTATTGAATAATTAATGTAAATCAATCAATGCATATTGTTTACGTTACAATGAGTGTATTATACAATGTGAATGGATTTGAACCCCATTGCTTCAGTGTCTGTCCGATTGTTTGCACGAGGTACAGTAAATATTGTGTGAATATATCACAATATGAGTAAATATTGTGTGAATATATCACAATATGAGTAATAATTGTGTTAATATATATCACATAAGGGAGTAAATATTGTGTGAATATTTTTACAAATTGCTTGGTTTTTTTATATTTGAAATGTTGATTTAAAAAAAAAAACAATAACTGAATATTGATGTAGACATTAAATGTAAATCAGAGCAGGATTAGTTGCGGTGGTTATGTAAAATTAAATGTTATGTACATATGTAATAAATACCGTCATATTTTTTTTCTGCACATTAAGGATGTAAATACTGAGCGTCCCTTCCCAGATACATTTTCCCTGCTTTAATCGTTTTGATGAAGAGTAATTTTTTTTTCCTTTACGTATTAGACATTTGTGATAATAAGATCTTTGATGATGGTAATGTTAAGTTTTTTTATTGGGCGGAGAGGGGAGGTGAGGGGGGGGGGAGGGGGTGTCTGGTGGTCAACTAGATAATTGTGAACTCGGAAGTTGAATAGATAAAGATAATAGCGGTGTAGATGAGATAATTTGTTACATAAGGTTTGGGTTAGTGTTTAGAGGGGAGGGGGGGGGGGGAAGGTAAAGGGTCGGGTTGATGGTGGAAAGGGGGTGGGGGGTGGGCAGTGCATGTGCAATTCATGATTAAAATTTGTTTTGTCAAAAATTAGCCACTCTCTGTAGGTCACACTAAAGTTTTTGTCTAGAGATGAATATTTATTGATGATCATCTTTTAATTGTTTGACAATTTTTTTTTCATGATGAAGGAATTAAAAGTTGGATGTAACGTAATGAGAAGTGTCGATGGCTTTTGGTTATGTGTGTTGTTGACATGGTGGTGTCATATGTGGATGTCATATGTCACGTGTCATGTGTTGATGTCAGAGTTCGAAAATGCTCACACGAGTGCACAGGTGAACGCATTCTCCGTTTAGAATTCCCGTGGTTATAGTTGTAGTTCCTGTGTATATAATAGAACTTCCTCTGGCTTTAAAAAAAGTTAATGGTGAAAGTTTACCAAAAATGTCCTCAGGTAAATGGTGAACGTTAATCAAATATGGTCTCAGGTTAATGGTGAATGGTTACTAAAAATGGCCTCAGGTAAATTGTGAAAGTTTACCAAATATGGTCGCTGGTTATGGGTGAAAGTTTACTTCAAATGTTTGCTGTAACAGTGTCCAGTTGTGCTAAAGACCCTTTTTGGTCAAACGACAGAAACAAGAACATTATACGAAACAAATCAGTAAGTGTCAAAAACATATCAAAACACAGAATCTTCGTTTTGTCCTGTCAGTTAACGAAATCTTATAGAAATTTAAGATAAAAATGAAGCTATTGTTTGGGTTACATGAACACTGTTGACAATTAGACTAAAGCAATAATCTACTCACACCAGGCATTTGGTTAAGACGATGTTAAGATGGTTTATAACTAATGTAATGAACCAGTTTTCAACCGACGCTTCAGATTTATCCAGATAAAATTCTGCATGGACCGGTTTTTATTTTCACCAATCGTCCATTAAACGCATTTTACTCACCAGTCTCTAAAACATGAAGGTAAATATGGCCGTGTTTGATGCACGTGAAGGCCAAAGGTGAAGGTGGGAGTTCACAAACCGCATGTTAGTTAAAACCGCGGCATGAATCAGGAAAGGGAGATAATTCAGTGAGAGAGTGACAGGGGATTAATGCCCCATGGCAGCGGTTTTAACCGGAGTTTTAGCATCGAATGTATTTTTATGACGCTGTAGTATACTTAATACCTGCAGAGTTCGATGATTTTAAGACCATTGTCAGGCTGATTCAACGGCTCAACGATATCGTGAGTGTCAGTTATCTTATATGATTGTGGTGATAAAAAGACGCATGCAAGATCGATGATTGGTTTAGAAAGTACTGGTCTTAAATATAACGTTACATTTTAATAGTCAAACATTACATTCTACTTGCTAATGCATTGGTCAAAGACTACATTTCTACTGGCTGAATAGGTCAAATACTACATTGTATTGTTCAAAAACTATTTGTGGTCAAAGACTACATTGG